AGCCTTGACTATACACACATTTATTGGCAGGGTGATGTTTCTGCTTTTTAGTATGCTGTCTAGATTTGCCATGGCTTTCCTCCCCAGGAGCAAGCGTCTTTTAATTTCTTGGCTGCAGTCCCCATCTGTGGTAATCTTGGAACCCAGGAAAATAAAATCTATCACTACCTCCATTTCTTCCCCATCTATTTGCTATTTACAGGTAACTTATTAGCAGTTAATAAAATGTCTCTTATGGGAAAACTGCAACTTCAAAGGATACCTAAAAGCATAGGTGTCAAACTCGCCATGTTGCCATCACATAATTTTTTTCCTCTTTGCGGGGCTGGAATGGGCGGGGCCTGCGTGTGACGTATCCAGCCTGCGGGCCACTAGTTTGACACCCCTGCAGAGTCTCTGTAAACTTGTCAATGTGACGTGTGGAGTACTTCTGAATCAATAAAAGAAGTGAGGTCACTACCAAGAAGGCCTCTCCAGCTGCAAGCAAGATATAGGAAGGCAGCTTCCCACTGAGTTGTTGAAGTTCACAATCAACACTGCATAGATCAGTGTTTTCTCAACCTTGGCAGCCTGAAGATGGGTGGACTTCAACTCCCAGAATTCTCCCTAAGTGGGTTGGGAATTCTGGGAGTTGAAGACCACACATCTTCAAGTTGCTGAGGTGGAGAGATACTGGCATAGATAGTGAAGCTGATATTATGAATGTATGCATTTAAGACATTGAATGCAAATGAAATAGCTTGCATTTATTTAGACATACAGCTGCCAAATGAAAAGACTGTAGGTGGCTTGGCAGTGTCTAAATAGCATAGTAAATACAATATAATCTTTTTTTTTTCAAGTATTAGTTCTTTTCTTTCTTTTCTTTTCTTTCCATGTTCACCAAAGTGGGGGGAAGTGTTTATTCTCAAAGCCACTCCTGCTAGAACTTACATTTGGAGGGACAGAGAGAAAGAGAGAGTGAGTGTTAAGCTTCTCTCTTTGATTGGCTTACATTAATAAACCCAATTTAATCAGCAATCATTATCTGCAAGCAAGTCTCCCTATTTATAATGGGACTTCTGCCTTAATAAACCTGTTTAAGAGTGCAAGGTTTGGTTACCATCCTCTGCTCTAGAGATTTATCTATTTAGTTAATTCCAATAAATCCTAGCAGAGTTTCAGCAAGACTTACTATAAGTTAGCATAATTTTACATTACCCTGTTTCCCACAAAATAAGATATCCCCTGATAATAAGCCCAATCGGGCTTTTGAGCGCATGGCAATAAGGCCAATCGCTTATTTCAGGGTTCAAAGAAAATATAAGACAAGGTCTTACTTTCAGGGAAACACGGTATATAGTATCGTATAAATTTTTATACTTATCCTTTTACACTCATCTATCCTAAGTTTTATAGCATTTAGATTATATACTAATTGTAATTTTATAGGATTCTCCCACATTTTAATTCCTGAATGCTGTAATTTTATGTTTATAATTTTAACCTTATCTTCTTTTATTCGATCAATGTGATTTTATATAAAACTAACACTGGTGTACATATGTGGGGCTCCCCTAACCAATTTGCACAGATTGAAAAGGCTACTTGGATAATAAGCAGCAAAATGTTTCAAACCAGCAAGAAAATAAATCCAGTTGCCGCTGTGACTCAACTTTACAACTCTACCTGGATGACTTAGAATCTTTATCAGCATGATTGTTATATATGTTTATATTTCTATTTCCTAAAGAAATATTTGTGTTATTCTATGCTGGTCTATGACCAAAATGCAATTAAGTGATTGATGTTTACTTAATTTATATAGCTGCCCATCTCACACCCATGACATCCAGGCATTTTACCATAAAAAAAGGAATAAAATACATGCAATAGAATAGAGTACAGAGTACAGAGTACAGGTAGTCCTCAGTTTACCATAAATGACCCCAGGACATTACAACCATCATAAAATAAGAGTCAGTTACCAACTGTCTGCAGTTTGATCATTTGACCATGGGAAAATGCTACAATGGTTTAAGTGTGAATGGTGATTATAAATCACTCTTTTCAGATGTAACTTTGTTGTAACTTTGAATGGTAACTAAATGAACTGTTGTAAATTGAGGATTGCCTGTACTTTATTTAGCCAAGTGTGATTAGACACATTAGGAATTTGTCTCTGATGCAGAAGCTCTCAGTGTACATGCAAAACAACAGAGTAATAATAAATAATAATAAATTATTAACTTTAATAAACTCAATTAACTTTATGAAACTCAGTCAATTGAACATTTAAAAATGTATCACAAATATCATTGACTGACTCTGATGGTTGATACAGGCTGATGCAGCATTCTAGGTATCAACCAAGTATCTTTTTTTTTTTTTTTTGGCTTTAATTTATATGCTGCCCTTCTCCAGAGACTCGGGGCGGCTTACAATGCGTTAAGCAATAGCCTTCATACTTTTGTATATTTATACAAAGTCAGCTTATTGCCCCCACAATCTGGGTCCTCATTTCACCTACCTTTGAAAGGATGGAAGGCTGAGTCAACCTTGAGCCTGGTGAGATTTGAACTTGTGGTAATTGCAAGCAGATGTTAATCTGTTAATAACAGTGCTTTAGTCCACTGTACTACAGGCTCTTGTTAAATTATTAAATTTGTTCTTAAAATTCTTATTAAATTATTAAATAAATTAAAATTTAAATTAAATAAATCACATTATTATTAATAATACCAATAAGAGGGGGTAGCAAAGGAGAAGAATACAGATAGTCCTCGATTTATGACCACAATGGAGCCCAACATTTATGAAGCTAAGTGAAACATTTATTAAGCGAGTTTTGCTCCATTTATGACCTTTCTTGCCCCAGTTCTTAAGTGAATCATCACAGTTAAGTTATTGACACGGTTGTTAAGTGAATCTGGCTTTCCCATTGACTTTCCTTGTTAGAAGGTCACAAAAGCTTATCACATGACCCAGGTGCAGTGCAACCCTCATAAGTACGATTCAGTTGCCAAGTGTCCAAATTTTGATCACATGACCATGGGGATGCTGCAAAGGCCATAAGTGCGAAAAATGGTCAAAAGCCACTTTTTTCAGCACCGTTGTAACTTTGAACGGTCACTAAATGAACCGTAGTAAGTTGAGGACTACCTGCAACACAATAACATCATCATAATAATACAACGCAAAAAGCAAATAAGCACAGCAGCAGAGTATCAGGAAAAAAAACCCCACGGAAAACAGGTTTCCACCAAAGGGACAAAAATGAGTCCTGCAGATCAGACGGGTTGTCACAGCCCCCAGAAGTGGGGACAAGGATGACAAAAGGCTCAGAAGAGTGTTAGCAGTGCCTCACAATGGGTAGCGTGAACTTTGGGGGCCCTCACCCCAAATTCACCCCCAGGCTCAGAAGCAGGCCGGTGGAACCGAACCAGCCTCCTTTCCAAGCCAAGGACCCGAACGTGCCTACTTTGAATGGGTGACAGCCTTCTTTCCCATGGGGAGACAGACAATTCTGGCTCGTCCATCTTTAACAGTTGCAAGGGACTTTGGAGGTCTTCTAGTCCAACCCCCTGCTCAAGCAAGAAACCCTATAGCATTTCAAACCAATAGTTGTCCAATCTCTTCTTAACAACCTCCAGTGTTGGAGCACCCACCACTTCCGTTGTTCCCCTGATTATTTCTTCTTGTCAGGGAATTCCTTCTTATTTCCAGGTTGCTTCTCTCCTTGATACGTTGCCATTCATTGCTTCTTGTTCTGCCCTTAGGTGCTTTGGAGGAGCGGTCACCAACTGGTGGTCGGCGGACCAACTGGTAAGCCGCGAGAAAATTTGGACGCTCCGCCGAAAAGTGGTTTGCATTTTTTAAAATATTGCACTAAATACCATTTATCTTTTTTTTTAAAAAAAATCCTATTAGTTCCTATTAATTAATTCCTAGGAATTAGTTCCCAATTCCTATTTCTATTAGCCGGATTAAAAATTATGAATTTAGTGGTCCCTGAGGTCCACCAAAGGTCGGCGGCCCCTGCTTTGCAGAGAGTAGCTTGACCCCCCCCTCTTCTTTGGGGCAGCCCCTCAGATATTGGAAGATAAGAGCCTTGGTGGCGCAGCAGACTAAAGTGCTGTTAAGTAGCACCAGCTGCCTGCCATTACTGCAAGTTCAAATCTCACCAGGCTCAAGGTTGACTCAGCCTTCCATCCTTTCGAGGTAGGTAAAATGAGGAGCCGGTTTGTGGGGGCAATAAGCTGACTTTGTATAAAAAAAAGAACACTGCTTAGGGGCCCCCCGAAAGCCCTACTAAGCAGGAATATACAAAAGTATGAAGGCTATTGCTTAACGCATTGTAAACCGCCCTGAGTCTCCGGAGAAGGGCGGCATATAAATCGAACCAATAAATAAATAAATAAAAATTTTTTTAAATATTGCACTAAATACCATTTATCTTTTTTTAAAAAAATATTCCTATTAGTTCCTATTAATTAATTCCTAGGAATTAGTTCCTAATTCCTATTTCTATTAGCGGGATTAAAAATTATGAATTTAGTGGTCCCTGAGGTCCACCAAAAGTCAGCGACCCCTGCTTTGCAGAGAATAGCTTGACCCCCCCCCCCCCCCTCTTCTTTGGGGCAGCCCCTCAGATATTGGGAAGATATCAGATATCTTCCAATATCTGTCACCCCCTAGTCCTCCTTTTTAAAGCCTTGATTGGTTTGCCTTCAGGGAGCCTTTTGAAAGCTTGGGGACCCCCTGAGCGTCTCATCCTTGAAAGGCTCTTCACCATACTGAGCTGAAAAACAGCTTCCCTGGCTCCCCACTTACTTTGTTCCTCAAAGGCACCAAAAACGGGGTGCGGGAGCCCACCAGAGCCGGGGCCTTTTCCAACGAAGTGGGGTTCTTCTCTTCTCCTCAGGCCCCTCAGCCCCCCCCCCCCCCCCCCCCCCCCCCCCCCGGGGGGGGGGCGGCCCCCCCCCCCCCCCGTCCCCTCCCAGGGAAAGCGCTTGCCTTACCTATGGAGATCTCCTGGGCGAAGGCGAGCGAGATGAGGAGCAGCGGCAGCCCGACGGCGATGCAGGTGACCAGCTTGTCGAGGGCCAGCTCCAGCCGCAGCCCCTTGTAGCGGCTCTCCGACGGCTCCTTCAGCAAGAAGTCCGAGAAGACGTACTCGGTGGCGATGTGCGCGATGGCCATGGTCGCGGCGGAGGCGGCAGGGAGAGGGAGGGAGGACGGCTACCCAACACAGGCACCTCTCCAAGCGCGCGCAACAGCCCCGGCCCGCTCGTCCGCGCGCAGCTTCAGCCGGGGAGCATCTCTAATTCCAGCCTCCTCCTCCTCGTCGTCGTCGTCCCCGGCACTTGGCCAGGGGCGCAACAGAGTGTCCGTCCCCCCGCCCGCCAGAGAGAGCCCGGCCGGGAGTGAGGCGAGGCGAGCGACCCAACCAGCCTTTGTTTGGCGCCCTCTCCGAAGGCAGCCGAACATTGGCGGGGAGGGAGAGAGACACCCCGCGCTGCCGCCGCCGCCGCCTCCTCCTCCTCCTCCTCCTCCTCCCCGCCGGCCTTTTGTCAAGGGGAGGCGGGGCCGACGGGGGGAGGTTCCGAGAAGGCGAGGGCGGGGAAGGGGAACCCGGGGCCTGAGTACTTGCGTGGTGGGTGAGGGGGAAAGCTGCGGCCTTGACGCGAACAGGTGGCTGGTCGGACTTTTCCCGAGGGAGGTTGGAGATGTGCGAGCAGCTGCGGATTGGCGTTTTGTCGAGTGGGCTGCCCGAAACTCCACGAGACGGGTGTGTGTGTGTATGGGCTTGTTCCGACGGTGTATTCCCTCTCGTGAAATTTCATGTGTTCATAAAAATGTGTTTATACTTTTATCTGTTGTCTTATAGATATGCTTGACAAATAAATAAATAAATACACAAAAATAAATACACAAGTAAATACACAAGCAAATATACAAACAAATAAATACATAAATACACACACAAGTAAATACACAAATAGATAAATACACACAAATACAGAAGTAAATACACAAATACACAAGTAAATACATAAATAAATAATTACACACAAATAAATACACAAGTAAATACACATAAATAAATACACAAATAAATACACAAGTAAATGCACAAATAAATACACAAATAAATAGACAAACAAACAAACAAATAAAATATCCCCCCCTCCTCAGTTCTATTTACAGCCGGCTCAAGGCCATCCTTCTTGTCCAGATGTGTCAGAAATACAGATTTACAGCCACACATCTGTACTCCTGTTGAACTGAGGGGAAATGACCACATTTAGCGTGATTTTTCCCAGAGGGCCCACCTCAGAAAAGAAAGGAAAAGGAAAAAGGCATTATTTAAAGTGGTCCCTTGTTCCTTGACAATCTCTTACCTGTGTCTGGAAAAAAAACTGGAACACTTCAGAAATAAATAATAAATAAAATAAAGTTGTGGGAGCTACATCACTGGAGGCTCTGTGTGTGTGTATGTGTGGTGTTGTTTATTATTTATTTATTTCATCAAGCATGTATTTTATGACAGATACAAGTGTAAACATAATTATAAATACATGAAAAGGATATGAATAAATGAAAACATTAGGACAGGGACGGTAGGCACGCTGGTGCGCTTATGCACCAGCATAAGACTTACAGACTTCTTAGGAATGGGGTGAGGTCTACAGTAGACAGTCTAAGGTTAAAATTTTGGGGATTTGGGGAAGAAACCACAGAGTCAGGTCTGTGTATCTGTATCTCTTTCTCAAGTAAAGGTAGTAAAACAGTTCCAAAGCACCAGAAGGCAGGACAGGAAACAATGGATGAGAAATAACCTGGAATTGAGGAGAATTTTCCTAACAGTGAGGACAATTAACCAGCAGAATGGGTTTGCCTTCAGAAGCTGTGGGTGCTTCATCACTGGATGCTTTTAAGAAAAAAAACTGGACAGTCGCCTGTCTGAAATGCTATAGGGTTGGACTAGAAGACCTCCAAGGTCTCTTCCAGCTGGATTCTGATTCTGATCAAAAAACACGTGGGCGTGGGAATAAAATCACTGAGAATCAAACTTCTTTGAAGGACACCTTATTGTGGGTATTCCACCACTGGAGGCTTTTAAGAAGGGACGGGAGTCACGGGACCTATCTGAAATGGTATAGGGTCACCTGCTTGAGCAGGGGGTTGGACTAGAAGACCTCCAAGGTCCCTTCCAGCTCTATTATTGAATTGTTAAGTGAGTTGTGCGTCCCACTTTCTGACATGTTGTGTCACAGCTGTTAAGCAAATCACTGCATTTGTTAAGTGACTTGTGTGGATGTTAAAAGAATCTGACTTCCCCCATTGCCTTTGCTTTTTTGGAAGCCAGCTGGGGAAGTTGCAAATGGTGATCCCGCGATCCCAGGACACTGCAAATGTCTTAAATGCATGCCAGTTGCCAAATGCCTGAATTTTGATGCTGCATCAGTTGTAAGTGTGAAAAATGAAAATAAATCTCTTTTTTGTAAGTAAAGAACTACTTGTAAGTAAGAGAAAGGGGGAAGATATTTGTCTGACATGCTCTGTTGGGTTACTGTAACATCTGGGTGACCTAGGCAGAGTAGAATTGGTTCTGGTTGGATGGGAGACCACCAGGAAATCTCAGGGCAGTAAGATAGATGGAGAATTTTTTTAAAAAAATCCTAGAGGAAAAAGCAAGCTAGTTAGATATTGGTCTGGCTATGAAAATTGCCAAAACCTGTCCATTTGGTCATGAGTAGCTTAGTTTAGGAGCCGTTACCTTTTTTGTGTGGTTCAGTGCACACCCATTGATTGGCTTCGTTTGTGGTTCAGCTCAGCTTGGGCAAAGCCAGGAAATGGGTTAATTCAATGTCCCAATGTCAGAAGACATTTGTGTTTCTAATGCATGGCTACAAAACACGTTTGCCCAAAGACTATTAAATCCAGAGTGTATTACGGTGTTTCTCTGAAAATAAGACCCTGTCTTATATTTTTTTGAACCCTGAAATAAGCACTTGGCCTTATTGCCATACACTCAAAATCCCAATTGGGCTTATTATCAGGGGATGTCTTACTTTGGGGAAAACAGGGTAGTAAATATGGTATGTTTATAAATGCTGATATGTCCAATTGTTTTGCCTTAATTTCATTTTTAAAAAGACTTCCTAGTCATCTTTTCCTAGATCTTCAAATTAATAGCAATAGCACTTTGCAATAGCACTTTGCAATAGCACTTCAACTTATATACTGTTTTACAGTGCTTCATAGCCCTCTTTAAGCGGTTTATAGAGTCAGCCTATTGCCCCCAACAATCTGGGTCCTCATTTTACCCACCTCGGAAGGATGGAAGGCTGAGTCAATCTTTTTTTTTTTTTTTTAATTTGATTTATATGCCGCCCTTCTCCGGAGACTCAGGGCAGCTTACAATGCGTTAAGCAATAGCCTTCATACTTTTGTATATTTATACAAAGACAGCTTATTGCCCCCACAAACTGGGTCCTCAATTTACCTACCTTAGAAAGATGGAAGGCTGAGTCAACCTTGAGCCTGGTGAGAATCGAACTCAAGGCTGTGAGCAGATTTTCCCCACAATATTGCATTCTAACCACTGTGCCATCACAGCGCATTAAGCAAGACATTCATTTTCCAGGCAATGTAAAATTTGTTTAAAATATTTTTTCCCCTTTAGTCACTTTGTTATCCCTTCTCTTTTAAATGGTTTACATTTTGTATGCTGGTCTTGAGTGCCATCTATAATGCAAACACACTTCCAGGGTGAAGCATAAATGTTTATATTAACAAACCAATAATGCTATATGATGCAGCCAGGTAACATAGCAAAAAGTATTAAGCAATATGTAGTAGTTTAATAACTGCAGTAATTACAGGAAATGCAGTCTGAAACGTAATTCAAAGTATAATGCTTTTAGTTTAAAATACTTTAAATTGCTTGAAGAGACTACTTGAAGATGCAGTGCAAAGAATTATCTGATGCCTTATGAATATTACTCTCTTTTCTCTCTCTTCCTGAAGGTAAAATGAAGGCCAAATGAGTTCAACTTTTCAAACCCTGGCTGCAGTGGTTTGATTTTAGTATAAACCCTTTTATTTCAACTTTAGATGAAATTAGTCAGAGGTGGGCTCCTACTGGTTCGCGCAAACCGGTAGTTAAGATTCTGTGCAATTCAGTGAACCGGCAAATCCCACCACTGACTAGCCCTGCCTTTGCTCATTTTTCAGCCTGAAACAGCCCAAAAACGGCCTAAAAACTGCCCTGAAAATGGTCTGGAAAATGGCCTGAAAATGGCTCAAAAAATGGCCAAAAAACAGGCTGAAAAAGGGGTGGGGGTGGGGCCAGCCGGTGGTGGGATTAGCCCCAACCGGCTGAATCCTACCTCTGCCTTTGAGGCGAGTGGCCAGGAGGCCGGGCTGGGTGTGATGAGTGACGTCACCTACCCAGTCACATGACCAACCGGCCACGCCTACCCAGCCAGAGAACAGGTTGTTGTTATTCAAGTCCCACCACTAAAATTAGTTTAACTAGCCCGTTTGTACCTATTTGCTCTTAGCCATGATCTCAAGGCTTAAGTGTTGCCATACTAAGCCATAATTTGTTTTGAACCATGGTCCGTTGAATAAGAAATAATTGGTTCACAGATAAAGCTGATTGCTGAGTCATATAAACTATGAATTACCAACTAACCATCATGTGATGCATAAATTTAACCAAAGTCTGAACTGGAACAACTGGATGTAATTAAGAGATCACAACAACCTCAGCAGTTTGAAAACCTTATTCATATTTCTAATCACAGCAGCTAAAGCTGCATAGAGAATTACTCTTGTGTTTGCATAACACATAAAGGCAACATCAAACAAAGTAAATTATGGCTTATGGTGAAGCATGAACCAAAATTTATATTGCCAAAAGCTTTTAGTAGATGCAAATATTGGATTAAATCCAACCTTGGATGGACTAGACTTTTGGATTTGGCCTACAAACCCATCCACATTTCCTAATAAATGCAAGGGAAATAATTAGGATTCTGCAAAGCTTCAATTTGGATATTAAAGTTGAAGCTGATTCAGTCAAATCTTTGAATCTACATCTACTTCTGAAGTGGAGCAGGAAATCGCATTGAACTGGTAAATGAAAGCAGATACATTGTTTCTGAAATATTAGAAAAATCAAGGTGGCCTAATTTTCCAAATTATTGAGTTAACGATCAGTTCAAGTCAGGTTCTTAGTCCGCAGTTGATTCAAGCGCTTTTTAATTAATCACTTTTAAATTTTAACATTAAAATTCTATAGACAGCAGCTTTTATCACATTTGGTAATTTTTGGTCCTATATCTGATTATTATAACATTTTAGGACTGTAGGAGACTTTTATGACTGAAAATAATACAAGGTTTCGAAACAATTTACTTTGTAATGATAGTAGTTTTCAATGCTACAATAATATGTTGCACTTTCTAATAGTTATAAATTGATCCAAAATCTTGTAACAATGAACATATTTTTTTTGCCTTGTTATATTTTAACAGCTCTTATGATGAGGGGGCAAGGAAACCTATAGTGTTTAATTCAATTTTTATAGCTTCCCATGTCAACCCAATT